CTTAAATAGGGATGTACGTACCTTTTTTGTTTTGCATCATTACAATGTACATGCATATAACAATATTTGCGTTACAGCCCTATTTGTTATCACATATTAAAATAATAATAATAATAATAATAATAATAATAATAATAATAATAATAATAATAATAATTAAGTCAATTTTATCCCAATTAGGGTTGTTATTCGAGTCCCACTCAACCAAGCACTTCATGTTCGAGTTAGTACTCATTTGATAAACAAGCTTGTACTCGCATAGTAATCAAACCAACTTGTTTTTTGTTAATTAATAAAAAGAATAAAAATGTAAGTTTGATCTCGTCTCATCTTATCTAATAAGTTCTAAACTCATGAAAAACTCTAACCTCTAACTAATGTGTTTTACAAACACACTACTATCCTACTCGATTTTTGTTCGCAAAAGTTTGAATAACCTAATATCCACCCATTTATCCTCCAACTAATTTTATTTAAAGGCCCACAAATATGACTTGAATAGTCTGTTTAGCCCATACGGTAGTATAAATTACATGGCTAAAGAAGACAAAAGCCCACTAGTTATGAAATTCAGCTCTCAGAAATATGTCATTGTTTAGTTTAGTTTTTGTACAGTTAATGGGCTGGGCCTTTAACGTTTGATATTTAAGGCTGACACTTTAACAGTATTCTAAAAATCGTTAGGCGCCCGCTAGGCGCTCGACCAGCGCCTAGCGCCTAGAGCTCCTAGTCGGAGCCTAATCGGCGCATAGTCGGAGTCCAAAAATTAATATTAAATACCTTATTTTTAATTTATTTTAACTATCTACAAAATAAAAATATCTCAACTTATAATAAATTCACACACCAAAGTCAAAAGAATAATATTAATATATATTAAAAAAAATATGAGAACAAAATAATGTAATTAGTATTGAAAAATATAAATATAAATAAAAGAAATTAAAAAAATGCCACCGGGCCCGCCTAGGAGCGTCTAGGTCCGCCTATGCCCGCCTAGACGCCCCCTAACCGCCTAGCCACCGAGCCCGTCAAGCCCGACTAGTCACCTGGCTGATTTTTTCTGCCGATTTGTGCAAATCGGAGACACCCGGGCACCGTCTAGCACCTAGGCCGATTTTTAGAACAATGCTAGGCGCCGCCTAGGCCGATTTTTAGAACAATGCTATATAATACTTCAAGAGATGTTGGGCCTACGTTTGGTAAAATTAGATGGCAAACTAGTTGATAGTTCATAAATAAATTTTGAGCATATAGCTGATAGTTTATGACTGAAAAGCTAATTGATAAAATAAAAATGTTCGGTAAAATTAATAGATAAATCAACCTATAAGCTCGAACTTTTAAAAAGGTTATTTCTAGTTAACTAAATAAACTATAAAGTTAGTTTATGGTGCTTACCAAACTTATTTGTCAGCAAATAACTTATCAGTTATCCAAATAAACTATATAAGCTAGATTGTGGTGCTCACTAAACACACCTTTTTTAATATTTATATGATTTATTTATATTACCAACCCATGCATTGATAGTTAAATATAGAACATATATTCGTATTTCTTTTTTTTGTTTGAGAATAATTTTTCAATTAGATTAACATATATTTGATTAATAAATAAATACTATATTCCAAAACCCCACAACAAGAAGTCACACCATCACTTTCCATCTCCACTCTTTGTTTCCTTCCTCCTTTCTTTCCCATTCTTATATATTTAATATTTGTTCCATTTTTAAAAAAAAAATAAAAAATAAAAAAGGAAAATCAAACAGTAAGCATAAAGAATCAATAATAGAGAAAAAAAAAAGGTTAGTTATTGGAAAAACCTGCACATTCAGCTCAATCATCCGCCGTCTTCCAAATGGGTCGTCTTCTCCTCTCCGCCGCTTTTCTCTCTCTACTGCTCAGCTTCTCTCTATTCTCAGGTTTTCTTCTTCAATTTATTTTGTGGGTTGTTTTTTCCCCTTCCAATTAGGTAAATTAAAAGTTCAATCTTTTGCTTCCCCAAATTCTCGCTTTTAATTTGGCTCTTGAAATTCAGAGGTGGGATCGACGACGTTCAAGATCGTTAACAAGTGCCGCCACACAATTTGGCCGGGGATTCTCACCGGCGCCAACCGCCCGCCGCTCAACCCGACGGGATTCACCCTCCGGAGCGGCGGATCGCGGACTCTCCGTGTCCCCAGGGCGTGGTCGGGCCGGGTCTGGGCCCGAACACACTGCTCCGCCGCTTCCGGCGAGAGGTTCTCCTGCGCCACCGCCGACTGCGCCTCCGGCCGAGTGGAGTGCGGCGGCGCGGGGGCCATCCCCCCTGCCACGCTGGCGGAGTTCACACTCAACGGCGACGCCGGGCTCGACTTCTACGACGTCAGCCTCGTGGACGGGTACAACCTCCCGATGCTGATCGTCGCCAGGGGCGGCGGTGGCAGAGGCGGCGCGTGCAGCCCGACGGGGTGCCTGGTGGATCTGAACGGCGCGTGCCCGAGGGAGCTGAGCGTGGCGCGTGGCAACGGCAGCAGGGAGAGCGTCGCGTGCAGGAGCGCGTGCGAGGCGTTCGGGGACCCGGCGTACTGCTGCAGCGAGGGGTTCAACACGCCGGACACGTGTCACCCGTCTGCGTACTCGCTGTTCTTCAAGAGCGCGTGCCCACGCTCCTACAGCTACGCGTACGACGACCGGACCAGCACGTTCACATGCGCCGGGGCGGATTATATTATCATTTTCTGCCCGCTGCCCTACACCAGGTGAAATTACTGTTAAGCCCTCGGCCTTGTTTAATTTCATTATTTGAATGTGATTGACCCATTTGGTTTTAAAGAAAAGACTTAACATTTTGTTTTTGTTTTTATTTTGTGAAATTCTTAACTTGGTATTGAATTGAAGCACAGTTTCTTAGGTGAGGAAGTTTACATAGAGAAATGTCATATTTTTGCTTATATAATTTTGTAGTCTGCATATGAGTAAACATAACATTGAAGCCTATCAAATATCAATNNNNAGATGGATCAATATGAAAATGAAGATTGAAATTTTCATTGTTTTATCAATTGAATACTAGAATGCATTTAAGTGAACTGATGTGACACAATTTTCCACTTGCAGAGAAATTCTGTATTGGAAATAAACTTGGTGGAATGTGGCCTTAAGATCTTAGTTTTAATCAATGTAGCCTTATGATTTAAGTTTTATGGGATTTAGATTATGAAAAGTTTTGAAATTTGAGGTTTAATTAGCTGAAAGCACATATTTGAATTTTTAATTTTTTTTTGGTACAACATATTTGAAATTATTTGTATATTAGACTATTGTATTAGGTTAAGTGGAAGAGTTGTAATTTAGTTAAAAGTTGTTATTGTATATTTAGCACTTTTGTCTACATTACTGGAACTCACTTTTCATTATTCAGAACTTCAATAGCCTTTTTATCTTCTCTCTCGGTGTTCTCTCTATCTCGATCTCATGTTCATCAGAGTTCATTAGAAATCAAAGGATGTTCTGGCTGTCTTTTCTCATATGATGAATTTTTCATTTGTGTCATGAATGAAACTTTTCGAGACGAAACAAACCGAATTCTATATTTTAATCAATGTAGCTTTATTGTTTACAAGTTTTATTGGGATTTAGATTCCAATTATGGTAATGTGTGGAATTGGAATGAAAATTTTATTTATGAGGTTGAGCTGAACAACATATTTCGATCAGTCTTTGAAGCTGGATTTCCCTTTTTGTTGCATGCAATTTTTTTTTTTTTCTTATTTTTTATTTTTCATATACTTCAAGACTTACTGCATGAAAGCATAACACTCTGACCCTGGTGATAGTTGATTATGGACTTAGGTTATATGAAGAAAAAAAACTCTGTTACAGACTTACAGCCTGAAAATTACATTGTTCTCTTGAGTGTTCGGTTCTATTTCACAACGAGAGTTACAAAAGCACACACATTTTTTAGGCTTCAACACGAAAAAACTTGACCTAAATACCCAAAAAAAATATATGTATATATCAGCCAAAAATTGCTTTCCGCGCGTAAAGACTCGGCAGAATTGCCTCTGGTGAACAAAAGCATGATGTACATTGGGAGGCACCACGCTAGATTATCATCCCCAGGTTAGACCTAAATACCCTCTTTACTATCTATAGTTCGTATATATACATTTTTGCACGCATTTTAGTGTTTAACAAATTTCGGGTGGTCGCTTTTCAGGCTGAAGAATTACCATATTTGCTAAATGCAGCTCAAAAAGATTTAAGCATTTTGTTAGCGAGCTATGGAAATTCGAAAACGATACAAGCATCTAGTTGTATATAGAATCTCTGTCGATTTTTTTTTAATATATATTTTTGTTATTAATTCCACTTGTGGGAATATATAGATAAAATGCTGATCGATTGTGGGAATTTTTTTTTTAAGATTCTTTTATCATGCCTGATAAACTGAATAATAGTGAGGATTTTAGTTTAGGTTCTTATTGCTCTCATTTATTGGAATGAAAATATGAAATTATGCGATAGATGCCTAGTATATGGGTACGTTTTCTGGTTCTTGTTTTTTTTTTCCTTTTTCTTTTTTTTAGTAGTTTCAATTGGGCCAGTTTATTGCATGATTGGGCCCAAAATAAATGATGAAGGATGTTTAGTCAAATTACTTGGCCCCTTTGAAGGCCCAAATCAAGGGTACAGGATTATTAAGATAGAATTAATTAAAAATAATTTGCTCATACTGTTTGTGGGGTGCATGTGCGGGCTAGTAAAGGGACAGGAGATCATGTTTCACATGCGCCAGTTTTTCTATGCATGTCAATTTCTTACTATAAAAATAAATATTTATCATCATCTTATTATTATAAAATTGACTATAAAAATAAATATTTATCATCATCTTATTATTATTTATAGTCTATCTTTCGAGCTCCTTACGGTACACTATGCTACATGGTGTAACAAAAGATATGTTCTGTCACTTTTTATTATTGTTCATGTGTTTGTATGTTTGTATATGTGTGTACACCAAGCGCCAAAAAATTAAATAAAATAAATTAGATTACCAACCCTATTAGATTCATTCAAGATAAAACGAATAGCGGTTTGTATCAAACCGTGATGAATGAATTTGATGTCTGTATTAGCTTGTGTGAATGATGATCTCTATAACCGTTTAACGATATCTTTTATTAGTTATCTCGCATTCCTTCTATTCACTTATTTAGTCCAAAAATTTCAAATCAAAAATTTCAAATCTCGCATTCCTGACAAAAACTGGGGGAAATGGGTGCTGACCCACTACCATGAAGGACGCCTGAAAGAAGGGAAAAAACTCATATGAAGCGCAAATGGGGTTCCATCCCAAAATCAATTGGTGGAAGGAGGAGTAGCCCATTAGTCTTATAAGGTGAGTCTATTTTCCATATATGAACGATGTGGGACAACTCACAAGTGATATTCTAACATATTTAACTTTATAATAAGATTCTTTCCTCTTATACCTAGCTCAAAACAATAAGTCGTGTTAGCACATCTCCACAACGTTAAACGAACAACTCGTTAACCTACTATTTTTGACCTCAGCTCGAAATACCCGAGTTACAAGCTTCACCCTAACTATTATCCATTGACTCAACTTGTAATTAACCATACCATTGCCTCTAACTAGATGATCCGAGCTACCATATGCTGTCCCCATCAAACCTTAATTTATGCATTTGTTATTGGGAAGTAAGTTTGAATAATCATAAACTAGAGCAAGTGATTATTGAGTTAGTAGATAGAAAATGTACATAGCAAATGAACTGATAATTATTATGATAACCGAGTTAGTGGATAGAAAATGTGCATAGCATATGAACTGATAACTGAGTTAGTAGATAGAAAATATACGTATGTACGATAGATGCATGTGTGGATATGTTTGGTTGAGAGCATTTACTAAATGAAGTTATGGATGAAAAAAACATTTTTCATAAATGAAAACTTTGAAATAGACAATTAAATTTTCTAATGTAATGTTATAAGTATAATCCACTGATGCATATAATTTAATTCACGAGACCCGAATAAAACAGCACATTTTGCCTAATGGTCCAAAATTTGTTCCAAAAGGCAAAGGAAAACAAGCCCTGCTTTTGTGTAAGCGTTTTGATATGAAAGTTTAAACAAATGATGGCATTTTTCCCTGTAAACTTGTCTCCACCTACACAAAAGTCGACCACTTTAGAATTGTAAAGTAAGTTGAACGGTCTAACAGGACGTTTGATGAGGGCCCATCTTATGATGAAAATTCTTCCAAAAAAGAAGAAAGCCAATCTTTTTTATAATAATCACACTCTATCGTACAAAATTTTGCTTATTTGGATCATAGTGAGTAATGAAATGTATGTGGTTCTCCAATTATTCAATAACCTTGTTTGATAGAATTTAAATGAAATGAATGTGAATATGTGTATCTACTTTGTCAAATTGATTTACCTATTATGTGTTGATAAAATATAGACTGCCGTTTTCTATAATATTATAATGAAAAACGAACTAAGTGCTTTACCTTTATATTATCTGTAAATCTTTTTAATAGTGTAGCATCTGATACCATTTTCAAGTGTCAAATTAGGAACGAGTATAAAACTAAAGGCTCTTGAAAATTAGGAGGTAATTTTCTCTAAAACTAAAGGAGGAAATTGCACCCCTTACTAAATCTTAGAAATTATATTACACCTTTCCACCCCATTTATACTTATTTTTAAATTTAGCTAAAGAAGCAAAAAAATTATCAAATCTATCTAAATTACACATAACCGTTATTAATATATTATTAATGGTAAAGAGATAATTAATTGTAATTAAATATCAACTTACCAAAAAAAGTGAAAACAAAAAGGTAAAGTAACCACCCCCACCGCCTACGATCCCCGTCTTTATGCAGAAACCGTTCAAGTTTTCTTGGTTCTCTCTCCTCTCAATCAACTATCTCTTCTTCTCCTTCTCTCTCTTACTCTCTCTGTTTTTTCTTTTTTTCTTTTTTCTTCGTTCAAGAAGAAGATGAAGTGGCTGATCCGGATCCAAGCATGGCGGAGGCTACCGCCCGTTCGACGTCGTCGTGGTCTTCCACATCATCGTCGTCTTCATCTTCCTCTTCTCCTTGCTGCTCGTCTTCAGATGGGATTTGAGCCGACTGTGAATCGCCCATTGATAAGGGATAAAGTATATGATGGTGGGTTGTTGCTTAAAAATTGAATCTTAAAAACCTATTTCACTAGAGGGAGCAAATTATTATGTTATTACCACCTAATCGAATGGTGATTGAAACTGGGATTAGGCAAAAAGTTTTTGTATTGGAGAGTGGGAATGGTGAGATCTATCGAAATAAGAAAAAAAAACATATATGGAGTATATGTTCAGTATATTAGAAGTATATTAGAAAATTTGTTTAATTTGTTCAGTATATTTTATGTGTACAGAGTATATGTTCAGTATATTACAAGATTTTTTAAAAAACATATATGGAGTATATGTTCAGTATATTAGAAGTATATTAGAAGATTTTTTTAATCTGTTCAGTATATTTTGTGTGTACAAAGAGTATATGTTCAGTATATTACAATTTTATTTTTTTTTTGTAATAGGAAATATAAGTAACTTGTTGTAATATGTTTATAAATTATATATGTATTTTATGTATAAAAGTAAAAAAATAAAAAAAAAAAAAAAAGAAAGACATAATTTTTTGATGGAACACATGTTTTTCATTTCAATATATACTAATATATACTACCATAAACCCAATATATACCACCTGATATCTCTATTAAATAACCTGCGTGAATTAAGGGGATAAGGGAATAAGAGTTGGAAGGAAATGGTAACTTTAGGGCATGCTTGTTTATGAAATAATTCATTTCCCACTCAAAATCTAACTCAACTTTAACTCAACCCCACTATCATTTATATTATTTATATAATTAAATATTATAAACCAATCATTCTTACATATCACATCAACTTTAATTCACTATTCATCCATTCGCATAATTTTAACTACCTATCATTTCCAATCATTTCCAATCATTTATATCCTACTTTTACATCAAATCATTAATAATCATTTCCAATCATTTATATCCCACTAACAATTAACCATATTACCTTTTTTAAAATTAACTCTAGTTAACTAAAATAACTCATTTTGAATGAAATATTTCATAAACAAGCACGCCCTTAGGCATTAATATAGATAAATAATGTCTTTTAGGTATAGACATAATTATTTCTACTTGTATGGTAAAATTGCAATTAATTTAAAATCATGCAGCAGACATACAAATTCCCAAACTAAAGGCTCTTGAAAATTGTAGAAAACATCTAAAAAAGGACTCCATTTGGTCTATTGGGCCATACATTTATGCATACGCCCAACACAATAATATAGTCCGTTATATAGGCACATATAGTTAAATTTGATTCACTTGCATAATCTACTAGCACGTTACCCGCGCGTTGCGTGGCTTAATATTAAAAATGATGTGAATGAATGATAATTTAATAGAAAAATATTTTAAAAAACATCTATTGATATAACGTAGACTAAATTTTTTACTAATCCAGTAAATATACTTCCACAAATATAACATTAATATAGTATTAATAGTAGATGAGTTGTGGTCATTATCACCTACTGTAATAACAATAGACAACATGGATTCATGACTATAGAAACAATAACAACGTATAATTGTTGTAACTAAAAAATACAATATATTTTTTTTTCTTAAAATTTTGAATATTAAATTCATAAGCTTAAAAAAAATGTGATATACTATGAATAAATTATTTGTCACATTAATGACACTCCTTCATCATTTTCCACAAAAATCTCTACGTGATAACATAATTCTATAGGTACAAAAAAATAAAGTCATAATTACTATTCTACAAATAAAGTAATATATTAATAATTAAAGTTAACATGTACGAAGATGAGTAAATTAAAATTCATAAATATAAATTAGATACTTAAGAAAAAAATTAAAATGACTTCTATACGCATGTATTTAAATTTAAATTAGGTCCACATATTTTTCACCTTTTTATTAATAAAATAAATATCAACATTTCATTTTTTTGCAAAATAAGTGCGATGGTGATTAGAGAATGACGTGGAAGATTGATCATTTTTCGTAAAGTTATAAATAAATTGAGTAATTGCACAAATCAATGGGAATTACAATTCAATGTAATTTTTAGAAATGCACATTGACAAAATTTTTGTAAAGTAATAAGAAAAAGACATTTAAATTATGTTATATAATATTAAAAAAACATTCTTGTGAAATTAACATTGTGATAGATGATAAGGAAAAAGTAACTAATGCATTATAATAAGTTCTATTTAACTTTATTTACTACAACATTCAGTTGCAATAATATGCTTTTATTAAGAAAAATTAAACGGTAACTGACACATTATGTTATTTTTATTTATAAACATCATAATTGTGTATTTAGTAAAAAAAATAAGGGAGGTCAATCACCAACTTTTACATAACCTCAAATTTAAGCTCAAATAAAATAATTGAAACAAATAATTATTGGATCAAAATATTCAATCAATAGGATCATAGTCAAAACTACATTATCACTTTCTTTCTGTCATCATTTTCTAAATTTTTTCATATCACAATATTCGTATATTGCTTACCCATAAATGAAACTAAATTAGATGCTATGTCAGGACACTAAATCAATTACATTTATGTTGTATACAAACTATGAAAATAAATGTTCACCTCATTGTACAAAATACAAATTTATGTCTGTACTAATCAATTATTTTTATGTTGTACACAAACTATGAAAATAAATGTTCACCTCATTGTACAAAAAAAAATTATGTTTATACATATTGAGTTATTTTTTATTATATACTTTAAAGTGTAATTTTTATTTTCATAATATTATATTAAGAAAATAATCAAGATGATCACCGTCAATGTTAGATCAATAGCTAAAACTTATTTTTCATGAAATTTAAGATAATTGGAATTAACTTAGTATTTAGAAATACAAAATTATTTTCAAATATCAATAATTAAATATTTAATAATAATAATAATAATATATACGTCTAAAACTAAAAAGTAAAAATGACAATTGCGATATATGATGAAGAAAAAGTTTTTGCATTCGTAGTAAGTTGTAGGACTTTATATGTCGCAATGTTTCGATAAAGATTATACATTATCGTCATTCTTAAGAAAACAATATACGATATACAAATAACACATTAACAATGAAATTAACTTGTTATGCCTCAGAAATTATAGTTGTATACTTTTGGACCAATAAAAAAAAATATGATGGCGAAAATTTTATGAGCGCATGTGTTTAAGTGGACTCTTCAATATTTTCATAAATAAAACAAATTATACCAACTAAAAATAATAAAATACCAAAAATAACATGAAACGATCTAATATGTAGTTGAAAATTCGTTGAAGAAATGAACGATATATATGCATTTTTCTTTTCAGCCTTCACAATCAAATTCATGAGTTGTCTCTTTGAAATGATGTCATATCTCTTTTTTTGTACACTATCATTTGTGGATTTTGTTTTCTTTTTACAATATCAGTTTTGAAATATTAGTCTATTGTTTATCTATAAAATACAGTCAATTTCATGGCATTTTTGAATTTTAATATGTCTTATTTTTCTTCTCTTTTGTTTTCCTTGTTTTCATTTTCATGGTTTTAGTAAAAGAACTTCAATCTATATAGTTCTTGAAGTTTCTTTTACCCAAATAAAGTATATTCAACATTTTCGAGATCTACTTTATATGGATATGAAGGGTCATCCCCAAAAACTATAGATGATATTTAAAAAAATATACATTTTTTAGTTGAATAAATTGTATTATTTATGATAAATATAACTTTATTATTTTTTACCTCTCTCTATTTGTATTGCATTTGGTATTTTAAAAAATATATGATAAAATAAAATAAACAAAAGTATGAAATTTAGAAGTCTAAGTTCGCATTTTTGTTAAAAAAGAATGATACGTTGACTTGACTAAACCTTACTTCAGCTCACATAAGAGTTTGTGAATGGTTAGATTTTTTACAATTTAAATTAAAAGATATTGTTTAGGAATGAGGTACTCTATACAAATAGTTTAATGGTTACTTGTCATTTCCTAAAATTACATAGAGGTTAAAATAATAAAATATTAGATTAATAAAAGATGATTACATATTTTATTAATGTGTACGAAAATTCCATCATATTAGAGTATATGTGTCAAACGTGACATGGTGCTATTATTAGATATTTATATGTAAACATTGAACATGTGTATGTTAAAATAAACGACATAGAATTTTAAATTGACATATCGAATCTAAAAGTTTATCTATATATATGCAATATAGATACCAAATTAAAAACTATAAAAATATTTATTTATTATATTACATGCAGATATTGTATTAATTATGATTTTTTCTATTTTACCTTGAAATATTTCGAATATAACCGAAAAAATTAATATTGTGTTTGATATTCAAAAATAAATAAATATGTTAAAAAAATAAATTATTTTAAATAAAAAAATTACTTTAAAAATTATTTTAATGATTAATTAAATGAGATTGATTATTTATTTTTAAGGAAAAAATATAATATATAAGAAAAGGAACTCATACTCACAAATGGGAAGAAAGACAAATAATAAGTGAGATATTGAAATGAGAATTCATAATAAATAATTATGTATAATATTAAATATTATCTGTAACAAATAATTATGTCACTCACAAAACATAAAAATATTTAACGAAAATTTGTACAATAATTGATTATGACTAAAATAAGTACTTATTTGTAACAAATAATTATGATATTGTTTGAATGGTAAATAATACATAGAAATTAACAAAATTTATTTCATGGTCATATAAGTAGTTGAAACATTTATTTAGCCAAGAGAAATTGGAGTGCAAATTTTAATACAATTATGAATATAAATTAATTAATCATATGCAACAAATATTTTTTATTGATAAATCATGCATAGAAATTAATAAAAACTTATTTCAATGTAGTAAATGTAGTTTTTGATGAAAATTTTGCATAGAAGTTGGTAAAATTTATTTTTAGTAATTAATATAGTTTTGGAGGGAATTTTTAACTGCTTCACTTTAATATATATAGATTAATAATTTAATATTAATAGCTCGAACTTGTTTGAAGTTTAAGTAACAGGCCGAATTGATCTCGTTAAGGCTAGATGAATTTTTACGTAATTTTTTAAATTTTACTTTACTTTAACTCGTTAAAACTCAGAGTTCAGAGCTAAACTCAAGCTTATTTATATCAGCTCGATTCTTTTAGCATTGGACATAACGGACATAAAATATTATATGAAATATTTTTATATTACTATTTGGCGGTATAATTATTTATTATGACTACAGCCACAACACTTGCCCCTTCTTCCAGCTTCATCACACCAAATTGTTTCTGTTTTCTTCTCCTTAAATTATTGTTAACCCTCTCCTCTCTTACCGGTACAAAACAAACATTGGGTTCTTTCCTAATAAAATACTTTTTTTTTTGCTCTAGGTTAACTTTTACCTTCCCCAACACCTCTACAGCTTCAATTCATTCATCCCCACCATCCAAAAAACACGGCCAGTTTCTTGAATATTTGTGAAAAAAAAGGGCTTTCTATTGGGATTAATCACATTAAGGTAAAGAAAACCAAAGGAAAGAGAAGGAAAACAACTTAGAAGTTACAACAGCAATTTAATGGATTCACTCTACTTTCTCAGCTTTTTTACTTCACTTCTCCTCATTTCCAAAGGTAAAACCTACTTTGAGAACTCCATTTGTAGCTACATTTGTGTGTTTTTGGGTATTTGTTTGCCACTTTTCTTGCAAAGACTAAATTTTTAGACATTGGTTTACTTTAAATTTGTGATCTTTAATATTTTGTTGGTCATTTCCTCCTTGTTACAGATAAGGCCCACTATAGTAACTCAATTTCTAGTTACATTCATGTTTTTTCTCAAAGATTCAATTTTTATGACATGGGTTTTATCATAAGTGTATTATCATGAAGAGGGTTGTGCAAATTTCCATCTTTGTTACGAGCTCAATTAGCTACATTCATGTTTTTTTCTTTTTGGGTCTCCACTTTTTCTTCAAAGATTCAACTTTTTTCCCAATGTTTTATCACAAAAGTGTAATCTTGAAGAGGGTTTGCGCCATTTACCCATTTATAATCTTGTTTCATTTTCTTTATTTTGATCTCAATTGTTTCATTTAATTTTGAGCTGAATTTTTCCTCCATTTTTTTTTCACATAAAGCTGCATTTGGAGCCACATTCACATTTGTAAACAAATGCGACCACACCGTATGGCCCGGCATACTCGCCAACGCCGGCAGCCCTTCACTCGACACCACCGGATTCGAGCTCCCTCAAGACTCCACCCGGTCCTTCTCCGCCCCGGCCGGCTGGTCCGGCCGATTCTGGGGCCGAACCGGATGCGCATTCTCCGGCTCGAGCCAGGGCGCCGCCTGCCTGACCGGCGACTGCGGATCGGGAAGGGAGGAGTGCGGCGGGCTCGGGGCGGCCCCGCCCGCCACGCTGGCGGAGGTCACGCTCGGCGCCGGCGGCGGCCTGGACTTCTACGACGTGAGCCTCGTCGACGGGTACAACCTGCCGATGGTAATCGAGACCACCGGGGGGACGGGCACGTGCGCGTCGACCGGGTGCGTGACAGATCTGAACCGGGCCTGCCCGGCGGAGCTCCGGTTCGGCGGGGGGGAGGCGTGCAGGAGCGCGTGCGAGGCGTTCGGGAGCCCGGAATACTGCTGCAGCGGCGCGTTCAACTCACCCGCCGCTTGCCGGCCGTCGGTTTACTCGCAGATGTTCAAGATGGCGTGCCCGAGGTCGTACAGCTACGCCTATGATGACCCCACCAGCACTTTCACTTGCTCCGGTGCGGATTATACGGTGACGTTTTGCCCCTCCATGCCAAGGTAAATAGAAAAATTGCTCTGTTTTTATTTTATACTATTATTATTACTATAGTTGTTTTTATTTTTTTCCCCTTGTTTTTTTAAGTTTTATTTCATACTTTACAGAGGAAATGCACTGAAAAAATGGGATATTTGGCATTGTTTTGTGATTTTTTTTTTTCTAATTAATTCTTTGTTCATGGTGCATTTATATTTTTTAAGGTAAAATTAGGGGGTTTTTTTTATTGTTGCCATAAAAATTTGGAATTTGGATTATATATTTGATATTCTCACTACATGTCATTTTAATTTAATTTAAAAGTGCATATTTGTTGAAATATATGATCACATAAACAAACTTTATTTTTTTGATTGTTTATATTTCTGGTGTGAAAATGGGTTCCATTAAAGCATCCCACTGATTGGCACTGCAATAAGTACATTACATGGCTCCATAAGTCGAGCCATTCATAAGTCGAGCTATCCGATGGTTTCATAGCAAAACTGCACATTTTCTAATAATTTCATCATCTGATCATCATCTTATGAAAAGCATCAACTTCAACCAAAGAATCTTGCAAAAGATCTTCAATTTGACTGCCAAA